TCCTCACTGACATTTGTTATTTGTAGACTTTTTGATGATGGCCATTCTGATAAGTGTGAGGTGATATCTTGTTTTGATTTGCATTTCTCTAATAATTAGAAAAGCTGGATGTATCACCCTCCCAGACTTCAGACTATACTACAAAGCTACAGTAATCAAAACTGCATGGTACCAGCACAAAAATAAACACACAGATCAATGGAACAGAATAAACAGCTCAGAAATAAACCTACACACTTATGGTCAGTTAATCTACAACAAAGGAGGCAAGAATATACAATGCAGAGAAGACAGTCTCTTCAACAAGTGGTGCTGGGAAAACTGGACAGCTGCATGTAAAAGAATGAGATTAGAACATTTCCTCACACCATATACAAAAATAAACTCAAAATGGATTAAAGACCTAATTGTAAGATGTGAAACCATAAAACTCCTAGAAGAGAACATAGGCAGAACACTCTTTGACATAAATCACAGCCATTTTTTTCATCTGTCTCCTAAGGCAAAAGAAACAAAAGCAAAAATAAACAAATGGGACCTAATTAAACTTAAAAGCTTTTGCACAGCAAAAGAAACCACTGACAAAATGAAGAGACAATCTATGGAGTGAGAGAAAATATTTACAAATGATATGACTGACAAGGGATTATTATCCAAAATATACAGACAGCTCACACAACTCAATATCAAAACAACCAACCAACCCAAACAAAAAATGGGCAGAAGACCTGAACAGACATTTTTCCATAAAAGACATACAGATGGCCAACAGGCCAAGTAACACACTATTAACCAAAACCACTTTAAAAAGTGGCTTTCCTTCTCCCTCCCACTCCCCTCCCCACACCGTCACTCATATTAGAAGTTAGTAACACTCAAAGGAAAAAAATCTGAAAACTACTAAACACTAATTTTTTATTTTATTGGACAAAGCTTTGAAAGCTTTTGATACTTATTCTCTAATTATAAGGCTGTTCAAGTTACAAATTTCCTCTTCCTCATTTCTATGACTGTTCTTATACTCAATACCAATAAGCAATATTTTTTCATTGAAAAGAAACAATTCCCTGAAAAGCCTGGGAAATATCTAGTTCTGACAAAATTTCTGGCCCTTTAAAGTCAAGTGTCTAGTTTGGATGTAGTGGGAGCACTGTAACCGGTAAGAACCTAAAGATTTCCCCAAAGTTACGTAGAGTCACTGGGGCTTCAAAGGCCTATCTGGCACCAGGACCAGGATCTCTTGTTTGATGTAAAGTTATTTAAACCCTCATGATGACCCTGAACTGTTCCCCCATAGATGTGATGAGAATCAGAACGATCTGGTGAATCGGGCCCTCAATTGCTAGTCTTCCTTTTTGGAAAAGACCAAAGAAACTCCTTCTGGCCCCTTGGTCTGTTCTTCCTTCCTTAGACCCACTAGAGGATTAGTTACTCTGGATTACGGCAGGAGGACAAGTCTGCTGCTCAGGCAGGTATGACCAGTCTAGGATCAAGGAAAATCCCTAAAGTTCCCCTTGGGATTCCCCCAAGACGGCCTTTGTAGACAAAGTCTAGCCTCCCTCTGTATCACTTATAGGAAGTTCAGATGACTGTACATCACCTGTCCTAATCTGGGAGTGGAGGCGCTGGGGCAGGGTGGGCAGGAGCCTACTGAATGACGGTCAGAAACTCAAAGGAATAAAAAAATAGACTCTGTTTTGACTTTATCTTGAAAATTCATCCTCAGTAATAGACGAATTTTAATATGACAGACTCATACTTTCCTAAAACTTCACTTTAAAAATAACTGATGAATGATTAGAAAATTAGAAAACAACACAAAAACTCTACTCAGTGCTCTGTGGTGACCTAAGTGGGAAGGAAATCCAAAAGGAGGGGATATATGTGTACGTATGGCTGATTCACTTTGCTGTACAGCAGAAAGTAACACAGCATTGTAAAGCCACTATACTCCAATAAAAATTTAAAAAAGGAAACCTATTTATGTCCAGGAAAAAAGGAAAAAACATTGTTTTACTGATTTATAAACATTCTTTTAAATTCTTATTTTCCTTAACAATTTTAGATCATAAGAATTTTTTTGCATATACCTTTTCTCATCTCCTATATTTCCACTCAGTGGGGAAAAAAACCTACAAAAACTAAAGCTTCACCCAAAATGTAGACGTCACTCATCATGTGTGAGAGTTTATGGCAGGTCATAATTGCATATGTTGCCTATTGTATGACCATATTGACGTCAATCATATATGCTTTTGTAACTTCTAAGCAGGGACCCAGTTGACTTTATTTGCTGTAGGCTGCACCTAGAGGAGCACCGAGTGAATAAACAGGAATAAATAAATCACTGGTTATCAGTAACTTGCTGCTCCACCACCAATTAACAACCATCCTCGTTTCCTGAAGTTGCACCCTTGGCTCTCGCGCCCCCGTCCTCCCTGGGCGGCGAGCACGGGGCACCTGGGCACCTGTGAGGGTCTGCCGTGAACCGGCCACGCGGCTCCTTGACCGGGCGCGGGGCCATCAGTGCAACCCTCCTGCCTCGCCGGCCCGGGGCCTCGCTAGTGCCCAGCGCCTGTTTCTCTCCCCGTGCCCTCCTGCCTTTCTTCACCCGCTGGCTTCCTCTAGCTCCTTGCGGCCTCCCTCCACCCCCCGCAATAACCACGCAGGCCTGCGAGGGCCACCGGGACCTCTCGGTCCTGGGCCACACCCCAGCGGTAGATCCCATGATAAACGAGCACACGCGCTGTGTCTTAGTTCAAACTTCCCGACAGAACACGACTGGCCCAGACAGGCTTTTCGATCCAGACACACAGCATCTGACTTCATAGGTCACCCCGATCACGATCCCTGCAGTGATTCCTAGCATCTTCTGTTCAAGCTCCCCCAGTGATCCTAGCAGAGAATCAGGGCTGAAGCAGGCTGACTGGGGTTGGACTGTGCTTGAGGCCAGGACCCACGCCTGGTCCACTCACGAGGCTAGAGCAGGATGTGTGTACAAAGCGTCACCACGGCTCCAGGGTGCACTGTTTCCTGCTGCTCCCGTAACGAATTTTCACAACTTCAGTGGATTAAAACAACACAAAATTACCATCTTACAGCTCTGGAGATCAGACGTGTGAAATGTTACCACGGGGCTGAAATCCAGGCGCTGGCAGAGCTCTGTTCCCTTGGAGGCCCCAGGGGAAGGTCCAGTTCCCAGCCTTTTGCAATGTACAGAGGCCACCTGCACTCCTTGGCTTGCGGCCTCTTTTCCTGTCTTCGGACCAGCAACGGTTGATGGATCCTTCTCACATCCTATCACTCTGACACTCCTTCCTCCCACTTAAAAGAGCCCCGGGATTACATGGGGCCACCAGACAGCCCAGGATAACCTCCTTCTCGTGAGGTGAGCTGACGAGCAGCCCTAATCCTCCCCTTGCCCAGTCACACAGCACATCTGCGGGTTCCCAGGGTGAGGATGCAGACATCCTCAGAGGGGCTGTGATCATTCTGCCTACACACGGACTCTACAGAACAAAACGTACCCTGCGGGCAGTTTCACTTAGAAGAGACTGTGGCCAAGCAGGCACCTCTGATGTAACCCTGTGCACGAGGCATGGTGTGATTATTAAAACCTCAACAGTTCATGTTGGTTTTCATCACTTAGACCTTATGCCAATAGACGTTTCAGCCATAAGAAAACAAGAGACTGAAAAAACATTCTCATGGAGATATATGAATGCACACAGAAATACTTTCACCCTTCAATAGTTTACAAGGTATCCTCCTGTAATTATACGAATTTATACATTTTGCCAACCACCACTACCAAAAATCAATTATAATTAGTTCAGATTCCAGAAGAAATCTATTTTGAAGCACATTTTAAGCGATTTCCAAATTACTTTTGTTTAGCCAATGATTATAGACATAATATATCAAAAACATACCAATAGTGATGCGCTACAATTCTTCTAAAGAAAAAAAAATACTCATCCATAGTGTTTCTTCTCCAAAACAAATAAAAGCACTTGAGTTGTTTTTAAAACCACTCTCCCCGGCTTGACGCGGCCAGGATGTGAAATTTCATGGAGGATTTTCTCATTATTAACAGAGGTTCTGAAAATTTAACTGTGAAAACCTGTCATCCAAAATGCAGTGTGAACCATCTAAACTGAAAAGGAGTGGGACGAAGTGAGAAAATAAGATCACGACGTAAATGTAAAAGTTAGGGAGAAAGACTGCAACTTCAAAAAGCTCTGAAGGAAAAGCATTTTCATGCATATGTGAGTCTTAAGAAATGGAATATTTCTTGGGTATTTCATATTCATGTTCAAAATTAGAGTAACAGGAAGTCCTCTCTTCCTTACGCTTGTGTTTGCTTATATTTCTATAATCTGTGTATGTAATGTGTACATGGCACTGCGTACGTGTAACCATCAACTCATCTGCTGACCTCAATCTGGAAGTCAATACCTGCATTTTAACCTTCAGTAGGTTAAAATCAGCAAGTCTCACTAGCTTGGGGCTTGATTCTTTGATTCATTTGGAATATTATTCAATCAACAAACATGTATTGAGCCTCTATTCTAAGGCCGGGCATATCACAGGTGTGACCTAGTTTTCAATTCGTTACACTGAAAAATAATTAGTCCTGTCCAAGTTTAATGCATAATTCACATTTCTGAAAATGCCAATTATTTTATCCTCATTTTTAATAAGCTTTTAAAAATGAACACTACTTTAAATCTACACGTTTGGTGGTACCTAGTGACTTGTGAACTGGTCAATGCTAACTTCGTCACACGAAGCTGGTATCACCAGACCAGTGAGGGGGCCACAGCTGATTGCATGCTGGGAAATTCAAGAGGGAGGATGGGGGGGGAGGCTCTCTCCTTCAAAGCTGCAGGCCTCTTCTCTGGACAATCACATAACTACTGAATTGAAATCAATTTGCTAATTTGTTGAACTATGTCACTGGTAATCAGAAGAAAGGAGTCCCGAGGCAGGACACTCACTCAGACTGCTCAGCTGACGTATGATGGCGGCCAGGGTGCTGTTGGTCACACACTCGAGTTCACTGGGGATGCCCTCGGGCAGGGCTCCCCGGCACAAGTGCCGGGGTTCGATGTTCCTCTTCACTAAAGGCATGGCTCACAATCTGAAAATTAAAAAGACAGTTTTAAAAGCTCATATTCACGTTTTAACAAGCCTAGAGTTTCAACTCCCTGGAAAACTGACTCTTTTCCAGGAATCTGCATTATCCTGTCATTTCTATGTGAGAGAATCGGCTCAATATGCAACAGATGTTGAATTCCTTACATGAATGCCATAGACTTCAGAGATATATGGACAGCACAATCCCACTTTTATAGAAAAGGGATGTACGCGAGATTTCCAGTGAAGCGTTAGCGACTGAATACGTGCATTTTTACCCTTCCCCCACTCCGCTAAAATGACAAGAGAGAGGAAAGGCACAAGCCCACACGTACTAAGAGAGGAAAGGACACAACAGCCCAAAACCACAGGCAGCGCTTACAGACTAGGACACAGGAAAGGCCGAACCTGGGCTGCCAAGGAGGGAGCAGGACGGAGCCCACCTACCTGGGCGAAGGGTCACCAGACACTCGGGAAAGCCTTCCCCGTTATCCTGGGAATTCAATCCACTTCTCTCCTCAAAAAGTACGTTATACATCCAATGACATCTCAACTTTTTGTTTAAGGAGGTATATAGAATTTCAAGCCTACCACCTATACAGCAAATCTACTGCCCCCTACAGCAGGAGAAAACCCAGTGACTGGGACACACTGTCACCCTGACAGGGCGCCCACAAGGCCCGATTCACAGGAGCAGCACCAGAAAAGCCAAGGAGCCTGGCGGCGTCTGAGCAATTCTCGCTACGTGAGACAAATAATACCTTGTTTAAGTCACTGTTGCTGGGTGTTCTGTTACTGAATTAAATTTACTCCCAACTGGTACAACGGCTCACCTCAAGAAGCCGGAACTAGCGAGGCACATGGTAAATCTTTCTTTCCTTCCTCCCTTCTCCATTACCTCTGTTCACGCATCCCATAAACACCTGCTGAGCACTGACCCGACACCGGGCAGTGTGCAAGGTGACGAGGACCCCGTGGTGAGTGAGACAGACAAGGCCCCTCCCCGCCCCCCCGGGGAAGTGAGGCATCGGTCCAACCGCCCAGGTCAGTGGACTCAAGTTATGAAACCCCCTGGGGGACCCTGGGCAGCCTCTCTGTGGACGTGACTGCTGAGCTGAAATCAGAAGGGTGGACAGGGGCTATCTCACAGGGCTCTAGCAGAGGGCGAAAGGCGGGGGCAGCTGTAGAGGAAAAGTTCTGCTCAACTGGCCAGTGTTTTTATCGACTATTTCCGCCTCTTGTCCATTAAGGGGCTGGTTGAGCACACCGACCACATCTTCCAACCCAAATACTACTTCATCCACCAACCTAGGTGCACAGCCTGTGGTACATCACTTCACCCCTCCATGCCTTCCTTTCCTCCCCACAAAACGGGGATCACAATGGGACCTACCTCACGGAGTGAGGACTTAATGCGTTATTACATAATAAACCACTTAGAACAGGGCCTGGCATATAGGGACACTCAAACAATGTGACTAATTATACTAATTTTATTATACCTCATATGTTGTTATGATGTTAATTCTGACTCTGATTATAACAATAAAAAAGGAACAGTTCACTGGTTGAAAATGAGGCTGAACCACAGAAGACGGATAACAATATCTACATTAAAATTATGCCTAAGAACATATATACACTATTATGTATAAAACAGATAACTAATAAGAACCTGCTGTACAGCACAGGGAACTCTACTTCACTTTGCTGTCCAGCAGAAACTAACACAACACTGTAAAACAACTATGCCTCAACTTAAAAAAAAGGAAGGTAGAACTGCACATAATCTCAACAGCCGTGGACCCATCAAACACTGAGCACCGACTGTGTACCGGCCCGATGCTGACGTCTAACACCTTCATAAAGTCAAGTGGGAGACTGAGAGGTACCAAAGGAAAAGGGCCTGGAATTATCTAGAAACTGGACGAAGTGAGGAGAAGCCCCCGACCCTTTCAACTGAAAGCCTGTGGGCCTCCTTCCGTGCAGACACTGCGGTGTCCACTGGGCAGGGTGGGTTTAACAGGCCTCATGATGCTCTCACTGGCCTTCCAAGGCCATCCCATTCCCCACTCCCATCCAGAGCATCAGACTGGGATGTCCCAAAGCCACATCACTGATGGGAGAATATCTGAGTCCTATTTGGGGGACTAGTTTGGGGAAGTCGGGCACCCAAAGGAACTGTTAGAGTCTGGTTCATCTCAGTGATGTTAGCCATACTTCTACATCCGTTCCTAAAATTGTTTTTCTTAACATACACATATGCTGACATTAGGAAGACATGGGCACTGTCTCCCACCCCGTCCTTAAACATCTCATGATTATTAAGAATAAGAAAGGGACCAGGTGGTGACGAGAGAATCTTTATACGCATAAAAATAAACTAAAAATCTCCCAGAGTGCCAGAAAAAAGAAATGATGTCAAAGAAGAGGCACACATCCAAGGAAAGCGTGTTAAACTATGAAAATTCTAGATACACTAGTCTCTAGTCAAACGTGTAACTATGATTTATGCCATTTCTTCCTGGGAGAATCAATTAGAGCAAGAGGCTGGTAACGAGTCATAATAAACTAGAAAATCTCATAAGGAAAAAAAGAAAAATCATTAACAAACTTAATAAAAGCATAAAGTATAGGAAAGAAATATTTTTCGACCTCTGACAGCCCCAAAACTTGCCAGTCTGACACTCCCCGGCCCACCACCCATATTTCTTTGGATCCGCCGTCGTTCAGATACACAAAATCCTAACTACACACGCACCCCGCAGACGTCCCCCCTGCACGTGCAAAGCAGGCCAAGCGGTCATCACCTCCCCCTCCTTCCCTGACTGGGTGGCTCTCCGACGTCAGATGTGCCGTCACGTCGTCGTCCTGGCGTATCTGGAGCTAACACCGCCGTTTCCCACAAGCCGTCCTGAAAACCACACCAGCCTTTTCGGAGCCTCCCCCTGCCCTGCCGCCCTGCCCCGCCCCCGCTGAAGTCCTTCACGTTTACACCTGAGACACCCCCTCCGGCATCGGTGAGCTGCCTGGAGCCTCCGTGTGTCCCTGACAGACGTGCTGAAGGCGCCCACGCGAACACTCGCCTGTGATGCTATCAGGGCACAGAGGAGAAGAGCTTAGTCTCTGCAGGGGCATTAACCACATCTTGTCTTTTCTGGATTCTCAGGCTTTGACACCTGAGCCCAGGCTCAGCCTGCAGGGGCTGCCCCTCCCGGGACCGGCCAAATCCTGAACTCGCCTTGCCATCCAACCCACCAGTGCAGGGCCCTCGCCACCACCGCCACTGCTCCCAGCAGGCCACCTTCCACCTGCCCTAATCACCCGGGCGCCAGACACCAGGGGTGACCTCACACCCCAGAGCCCCTGAGATTATTCAAATGAGCTGCTCCTAAACCCGCTCACCCTGCCTCACCCGTGCCTCCGAGAAAATCCACAATACAGGCTCCTTCCCCCAGATCCCCCCCCACTCCCTCTGCCTCCGACGGCCCTGGTGCTTCCCCGTGTGGCCCCCGCCCCTGGGAGCTGGGAGCGACTCACTCTCTTGTCAGTGGCAGTTGTCTCTGGATCCACTGGCTTCACTACACCTCGTGTTTCCTATTAACACACCATATTCTAAACAGTGAGAGGTCTGAGAAGGATTCAGAAGAGGCTGCGTTGTCAGACGCTCACACAGCTCCCCGCTTACTGTCCCCAGCACCCCGCAGAGCCGGTGTGCCTGCACTGGGCCAGCACAGACGGCGTCTCTCCCCGCAGGGCAGACCGTAAACTGCCCAGATTTCGGGGCTGAGTCTATCGACTCTGTTCCCCACAAAGCCCTTCACAGCCCACACCATGGCTCGAGCACCCCAATGATGCCTGCTGACCTCGTGCCCATATACATACACACGCATATGTCTATCTGCCCCTCCCTGGGCACCTGGCCTATTGTTCAGTATTTCAGCTCTAATTAATCCCAGCCTTCACTTCTCACTGTCATTATACCTAGATGTGGGGTTCCCACACCTGTCTAAATACACAAGACAACAGAGAGAGAGGACGTGCTGCCGTCTGTATAATTTTAGAAGAAGGGTTGCATTTCACAGATCCTTTTGAAAGTTCTAATCACCCAGCAATGACTTTTATGGCTTTCCTGTCAGTGTGAAGTACTCTAACAGATGTATTTTTTCCCAGACAGCCTTTATCTGACACGGATCCAGTTTTGAATAAATGGAAGCGCAAGGAAGAGGTAAAGGAGAAAATGTTGAGTCAATCGATTCTCTTGAAAACGCTTTGCAGTTACAGAAACAGACATGGAATGAGCGAATCCACCCAGTCACCAGCAAACAACTTCCATGCGCTTCACCAGCCCATCCCTGGAACGTCCCAACCATTCTTCAAAGCCACCCTGCGTGCTAAGAAAAAAATCTAACACTGCTTATCAAATGCTCAAGGACTATCCGAGGTAGCATGAGGTTTACTGCTAAGCCTGCAGTTTGTCCAACTTTTCTGGGAAATGTCTCAGTTTACAGACACAACCTGGTTCACGCAACTGTGAACTAGATTCCAAGGCACGACCGAAACCAGGCCAGGGTCCCTCCCCAGGAACCTGGAAGTGGGACCACGATGTCCAGATTAGTTGCTGCTCTTTGGAGCAGCAGAGATGGAGAACTCTTCACCACTCGAGAGGGAGGCTGACGGTCAGTCAGCAGCAAGAAATGAGAACGGGACAGCTGAGGGGAACCAGCAAAGACCAGACAGCGACGGGGCTCCCAGTGGCTCTGCCCAGGCTCCTGCAGACCTCAGCCAACCAGGACGGAACCTTCTCCTACACCCCACCTCGGGGTCGGACGTGCATCACGCAGGATGCCTCTTCCAGCCTCCTCTCCTCTTTTCACACAGGCACATTCCCCGTCAAACTTTTGCAGGTGGGATCCCATAAGGACACAGAATAATATACGCGGACATTAGACTTTGATTTTTGTGTCACCTTTTCAAAATAACCCCGAGTCAGTGTGTACTAAT